TCTCTCTCTCTCTCTCTCTCTCTCTCTCTCTCTCTCTCTCTCTCTCTCTCTCTCTCTCTCTCTCTCTCTCTCTCTCTCTCTCTCTCTCTCTCTCTCTCTCTCTCTCTCTCTCTCTCTCTCTCTCTCTCTCTCTCTCTCTCTCTCTCTCTCTCTCTCTCTCTCTCTCTCTCTCTCTCTCTCTCTCTCTCTCTCTCTCATAGTTTGCTTAAGGACCATGTTGCTTGGCTTTATTATTTGTTTTACTGATAGGATCACCAAATCAGAAAGACTTAAGGTGGCTTATGTTGAAAACTATAATAACAAAGAGTGCAAAACATAAAAATTAAAACAACACTTTCAAGGAAGTACATAAAAAATCATTCCAGCCATTATCTGGTTATTTGTGATCTTGTAAATTCTGACTAATTAAAATGTCGGTTCAAATTAATTGTTATAGTAAATGAATATTTACTGTCTTGAAGTTTAAAATTCATTATTTTTACCCAGATATATGGAGCCTGGGAGTTATTCTTTACATGTTGGTATGTGGACAACCACCTTTTCAAGAAGCAAATGATAGTGAAACTTTGACCATGATAATGGATTGTAAATACACAGTACCATCTCGGGTATCCAAAGAATGTAAAGAGTAAGTAAATTATTATATAGAATGCCTTGAAATTAAAAGCATTATGCCAGCAATAGGCAGTAAGGTGTAGTGAAGACTGAGGGAATCCAGTTCATGTTTTCATTTCACTACAATGAAAAACACACACAACCCCCCTTTCTTTCAACCTAATCTATTTCCTCAGAATTTCTGTGAGGATAACTTGGGAGAATTGTATATACTATGTTGAATTCCTTGGAGGAGAGGTAGGATATATATAAAATACATGTTAAAGAATGATATGATTTACTGTATCCTCATTCTACAAAATATTCACATTTGTTTTTTGAACATCATTTTGCCTATTTAATAATTATGCATGAATTCTTTATTTTCCCTTTGTTTGCATTCACTATTGTATTCTGGTTCTGGGAGACATTGCAGATCAAGATCCTACAGTATCATAGTAAAATGTGGCTTACAATTAAAACCATAAATGTAAAATATTACAAATATTCAGTAGAAAGATAAGAAACAAAAGGCAAGATTGGTACAGTGGGGTCATCTTCCCTGTTAGTCCACCAGCCACCTCCAACATGGATCACCCCCATCAGGACCCCAAGAAAATTGGCAGGGCCAGGTTTTAATGCCCTTCTGAAAGGCCAAAAGGGTGGATGCAGACCTCACCTTAGGTGGCAAGATATTCTAGAGAGCGGAGGCCATGGCAGAAAAGGCTCTCCTTCTAGACCCTGGGGCCAGCCAAAACTCTTTGACTGATGTGGCCCACAGCGTGCCCCTTCTGCCAGATCAAGTGGGGCGGGTCAATACCATTGGGGTGAGATGGTTCCTCAGATAACTTGGTCCCATGTCATGAAGGGCTTTAAATGTGATAACCAACACCTTGAATTGGACCTGGAAGTAAACCAGCAACCAGTGCAGCTTGCGTGTATGTTATAAAGATAAATCTGATCAGAACCTATGTGTATGTTGTAGATCTTCCATTTATATAAACCCTCACTTTATGCTGTGATCTTCAGTTTTCATGCTACTTCTATACTTGTGTAAAGCTTTCTAGAAGGTATTAAAGGACAAAGCAAAACAGTATTAAACAAAAAATGCTTACGTGCTTTCTATTTTAGTTTACAGCAATGGGTTTTCTGGCGGTCTTCTGTTGAAACCCTTACCAAGTCTAATCCTTTTACCTGTCAAAATAAAAGCTAAGGTTAGATAGGTGCTACCATCTGCTGTGACTTACATCCTTTATCTCAAATGAATTTAGTTACATGTTGATGCACCTGGAAAGTATCTCATATAGACCTGTGTGGTAATTTAAAAGAAAAGTGGAGATCTAGTATCTCAGTAAGATAATGTTGAATAGCCAGAATTCTACAAATGAAATAGAGTCAATTACATGTTGGGTGAGAACCATTTGTATAATAGGAGAAAAACAGCTTTGTAGAATATACCCTTATATAATGATGCTAATATATGCTAATATTTTTCTTGCTAGTTTAATTACACGAATGTTGCAAAGAGACCCAAAACAAAGGGCATCTTTAGAAGAAATTGAAAATCATACTTGGCTACAAGGAGTTGATCCATCACCTGCAACAAAATACAATATTCCTTTGGTTTCATACAAAAATCTTTCAGAGGAGGAACACAATAGCATCATACAACGCATGGTTCTTGGAGACATTGCAGATCGAGACACTATTGTGGAGTAGGTAACATTTTATATAGTTTTATAATTCAATATGTAACTGTTGTTATTCTGTTAACAAGAGTAGCATTTGTCTATATAGAACCTTCAATCTGGTGCCCTTTGTAGGTATTTAGATTTCAGGCCCAGAATTAACAGCTATCACAGTCAACAGCCGTGTTACTGTACGTGCTAATTATAAATATTGTAGTCGAGAAGATGTAATTGGAAAAGCACATGCAAACGCATAAGACCATTTGTGGTATCATAATCAGGATATGTACCTAAAATTCTTGTCTGTACGTCCTTAATATTTTTCAGAGAAATTTCTTCATGTCAGGTGTTTTATTTGGCACTTTTCTACTTTAAACTGAAGAGCTGTTTATAACAAATAAAGAAATATTATTTCTTTATAATTTTTTCTTTTGATTATTTGATCATTAAAAGCAATTCCATAGTAGGACATCTACAGTGAGGGAAAAAATTATTTGATCCCCTGCTGATTTTGTACGTTTGCTCACTGACAAAGAAATGATCAGTCTATAATTTTAATGGTAGGTTTATTTTAACAGTGAGAGATAGTATAACAACAACAAAAATCCAGAAAAACGCATTTCAAAAAAGTTATCAATTGATTTGCATTTTAATGAGTGAAATAAGTATTTGACCCCTTCGCAAAACATGACTTAGGACTTGGTGGCAAAACCCTTGTTGGCAATCACAGAGGTCAGACGTTTCTTGTAGTTGGCCACCAGGTTTGCACACATCTCAGGAAGGATTTTGTCCCACTCCTCTTTGTAGATCCTCTCCAAGTCATTAAGGTTTCAAGGCTGACATTTGGCAGCTCGAACCTTCAGCTCCTTCCACAGATTTTCTATGGGATTAAGGTCTGGAGACTGGCTAGGCCAGGGGTCAGCAAACCTAAACACTCAAAGAGCCACTTGGACCCGTTTCGCAGAGAAAAAACACTGGGAGCTTGATTGAAGAGTTTAATTAAAAAGAAATAGAAGCTGATGTGCATGAGTCTCTCTCGCCCTCCCTCCCTCCCTCTCCCTCTCATTGTCTCCCTCCCTCTCTCTCCCCCCTTTCTCTCCCTCTCTCCGATCTTCTGCTCACCTAGCAAGCTGGCCTCACGCTGTTCTCCGACAAGCTGACACACATTCTTATTGGGCTGGCTCTCTCCTGCCCTTGGACTGCCAGTCCTCTTCCCCCACTCAGTGTGTGTGTGTGTGTGAGAGAGAGAGCTGCTGCTTTCTGCTGCTTCCTGCTTCCTGCTGAGACGCAGCAAAGGCAGGAGCCCCGCCCAATAAGCTTGTCAGCTTATCCGAGAACAGCGTGAGGCCACTCTCTTTTTTACACAGAGAGAGAGAGAGAAGGGAAGCGCAAGTGCCCCTCTCTGTCTCTGTCTCTCTCTGCAAATGGCGGAGGAGGATGGGAGCCGCAGGAGAAGGCTCAAAGAGCCACATGCCGGTCCGGAGCTGCGGGTTGCCCACCCGTGGGCTAGGCCACTCCAGGGCCTTAATGTGCTTCTTCTTGAGCCACTCCTTTGTTGCCTTGGCCGTGTGTTTTGGGTCATTGCCATGCTGGAATACCCATCCACGACCAATTTTCAATGCCCTGGCTGAGGGAAGGAGGTTCTCACCCAAGATTTGATGGTACATGGCCCTGTCCATTGTCCCTTTGATGCGGTGAAGTTGTCCTGTCCCCTTAGCAGAAAAACACCCCCAAAGCATAATGTTTTCACCTCCATGTTTGACGGTGGAGATGGTGTTCTTGGGGTCACAGGCAGCATTCCTCCTCCTCCTAACACGGTGAGTTGAGATGATGCCAAAGAGCTCAATTTTGGTCTCATCTGACCACAACACTTTCACCCACTTTTCCTCTGAATCATTCAGATGTTCATTGCCAAACTTCAGACAGGCCTGTACATGTGCTTTCTTGAGCAGGGGGACCTTGCGGGCGCTGCAGGACTGCAGTCCTTCACGGCGTAGTGTGTTACCAATTGTTTTC